TTTTTCCTTCTAATTGATTTTTCCTTTCACTCTGTTATGCTTGTTTGGGTTAGGGTTTGAGAGGGGAAAGAAAAGAAGAGAGTGAGGAGAGAGAAAATTTGGGTTTCTCAGATGGGTTGTACCCGGTAACTCGTTTAAACCTATTTGATTCAAGGATATTTAAGTCAATTGTATTTGTCAATTTTATATCAAAGGATAATAAAGTCAATTCACCATTGTCAGGTAATAAAGTCAATTCACCATTGTCAGGTAATAAAGTCAATTCACCATTGTTAGGTGTCTTTGTCAATTTTATCAAACTTGAGGAGGTGTTATTTTCCAAAAATAGACCAACTTGTAGTTGGCTGTCTTTGTGCCAAACCTCAAGGGGTGTCAATTGTAGTTTACCCTAAATTTTAGAATACAAGCACCCTAAAGTTATAAAAAAAATTAGCAAGCCACCACTTTTCTTCAAGTTACCATCTCTCTCCTTCAAGTTACCATTAAAAATAAACGATCAAGGCATTGGGAATTTTTGTAAATCCCAAAATACCCTTTCTATTAATTGCATGAAACACCCTGTACAGCTGCACTGTAAGAAATCTACACATTACCCCCAGAAAACAATTAGAAGTTTGCATATTACCCCTAGTTTGGGTAGTGGTGAGTGGCAGTGACTAGCAGTGAGATTTAAGTTCAAAATCTTTTTCTTTATTTTTATTTTTATTTTTATCTTTATTTTTTATAAGTAATATTTCATTGAAAAGTGCTTTAAATGGGAGCACATCTTAGATACAAATGCACAAATCAAGAGCCTATATTCTCAAACTATCCACAAAAGACTATAGAATCTCCATAGATATACAGTTACTCACATGAACTTTAAAAAAATTAGGATCTAAGCACAAATATTCAAATTCGAGAACTTACCTTCTTTGATACCACATATAAAACTTTAATTCTATGGATATTGATATTGGCTTGTAGACAGCCAATTTGAAATTGGTTTATTGGGAAACACATTGAAAATATATGAAAACAATTGAAATGGAAACAACTCCAGAGAAGGACATCATAATAATCATTAATTTAAATCTGTGGCTTCCCCATTTACCTGAGTCATTTCCATATTCTATTCATGCACTCCCTCAGTTCCTTGATGTCATCCTTTCTTTATTTTACTTATCTTTCCATAATCATCATGTTGACTTTCCTATCTTTAATATGTCTTTACATCGGCAAGCATAAACTAATAGAGTAAAAGTTGAATTAGTATTTAGAGAAGAGAACGAAAAGCTCTTACTAGTCAATGTTTTCATGTGGTTAGATGTCCCTGAATGTTATTGATAACTGAATTCAGCACTTACTCAATTAAGTGCGTTTGATAACGCAATTTGAATATCACTGAAAATGGCAATTGCTACTTAATATGGGATAAAATTTTAGTGACAGTAACATCACTTATCACTGAAGGCTGAACACTTAAAATTCAAAAAGATATCAAAAAATATTTATTTTTTAATTACCACTTAAAAATTCAGCACTTAAAATTTCCAGTACTTAGTTTTCAGTTTTATCAAACAGCACCTAAGATGAAAACTTTGAAGATGCTGAAAACAAGAAACAATACTGTGGGAGGACCAAGAAACGATTTGCCAGATGCAATAATCTGGTAATGGATCAGATTACTCTGATACCATTTACAGGAATCTGATATAATGAATAGGGTGGAGAGGCGAAGAAAATGTAGGAGACAAGTGCATATACAATTAGCTCAGCAATGATGTTTAAGATCGGTTGGTCAATGCCCACATTTATTCTACTCCTATTGCTGTTTACATCATCTAATTTTCATGAATGCCATCTTTTACATGCTTATTTCATCACTCTGCTGGAGTTGATCTTATTTCCATCATCTCTTTGGGTTTTAAATTTTTTTTTTAGAATCTTTTCGTAGTGTCAGTTTTACCAGCACCATGGTTACTAATTGCATGAAAATTTAGGAAACAACGATTTGTATATGGAACTATACTGGACAGCATAACAAAAGTCACTGGGATTATCAAATTTGATTTGCATGCCGAACCAGAGATCGGAAGAACAAAACTTGAAGTTGGAGGAAATGTTCAAGGAATCTTTGACCTGGGAGCTGGTAGATTTGGTTCAGAAGCTATCTTTGTCCCTCGTAAGCCCGGAATTACTTCTGAAGAAGATGATGGTTACTTGATATTCTTTGCACATGATGAGAACACAGGGTATGTCTTCGTTTCTAACACTATAACTGAAGTTACCGTAATTATTTCTTTCTTCATTCTTTATATCACAATTACTATCATGAAATGTAGAGTGCATTGAGTATGCTGCCTAAAAAACCTTAAATTCTAATGGTAGAATTTGTACCAATCCCAATCTGTTAGAACAACATTATGACAAAATGATGTTGATTCAGTTGTTTTTGGACTGGATTTAGAGGTGCACTCTACTGTTTGCGAGGTTGAAAAATAAATTTAATATCATCTCATTTTATCTCAGATGCTAACAATTGCTTCCTTGAAGTTGGCTGTTGTTAGATGTAATTAATACCTTGACGACAGTGTCACTGGTACAGAAGCTGTTGCATATTAATGGAAAATAGTTCCCTCACTCTTTTCTAATATGGATCAGTCTCATGAGAGCTTTCACCATGAGCCCATGCCCTTGACTGTTAGATTGGGAGGATAACCTTACCAGCCTGTTGTCCAACGGTTGAGTCTGCGAGCTCACATTGAGAAAATTGCAAATTGCCCACATTGTATTTTACATCAAATAGCTGAGATAACTGCTAAGTCGCCTCACAACTCAAATTTGAAATTTAATCACCCTGATGATGTAAATATTTGAAATTTAATCACCTTGATGATGTAAATCCAATCTGAGCTTTATTTTCTTTTTTTACTTGTGCAGAAAATCAGCAGTGAATGTAATTGATGCAAAAACAATGTCAGCTGATCCTGTAGCCGTTGTTGAATTACCCCATAGAGTTCCTCATGGATTTCATGCCTTCTTTGTGACAGAGGTCGGCTATTTGACTTTCTTAGTAATTTTTGTTTTTATTTTAAACTTTTTTTTTTCATTCACAAGAGAGAGAGAGAAAGACGAGAGAGAGAGAGAGAGAGAGAGAGAGAGAGAGAGAGAGAGAGAGAGAGAGAGAGACGGCCTTTGAAAAGTTAAAAGTGGAACTAGGAAGAAATTATTACACCAAATTTTCACAACAGATGGAAGGACTTGTTTTTGAGATGCCATGTCATAGAAGTTGGATTCACTAACTAGCACCTTTATTGCCTAAACTTTTGGAGGATAGTAGTATTTAAAAGAGGTGAACTAATTGTCTCATGAATCTATTATGTGGTTGTGACGTTGAAGATGTCTTATAACTTCACCTAGAGTTATTATTATTATTTTCCTTAATAAGTACGTTTCATCCAAATACAGCTCCTCAAAGAAAAGAATAAATAAGTAGGTAAGCTTTATTGTCACTATCAAAATTAAGACATTGAAAAAGTCAATTCGGACATGAGCACTTATTTTGGGAGCATCTTTAAAAGTAATGATGGCCTTTTTTTTTTTCTCTTTTTTTAACGATAATAAGGAGTGATGCTTTAAGAGAATAAGAATAGGATCGTTTCAATCGTTTTCCCTTCTATCTAAGATTCCATAATGTTTTGATGTTCATTTTTTTATGGGAGAGCTGTTGAACTTGGAAAACTCATAAATGGTTGGTGGATTGGATCCCTAAATTTTTTACACAATACAAAGTTGTGTCTCATCCATCACCAATTCTGGTTAGCTACTTGATTTGACAATTTGAGCCTGAAGTGAAAAAAAATCCGCAACACAAGTCAATGACTGTATTTGGTCGTAGAAATTGTTGGATTTAGGAAATGGTCCTCAAATCTACCACTACTCTAGATTCCTTAAAAGTAAATGGATAGTTTGTAATAAATAAAAAAATAATTCTTCCTCGTTGCTGGTCAATGTAGAATGATGCACCATTCAATAGAAAATTCTTCAAATGGTATATTTCTCTCCATTATAAGCTTAGGATTAGAAACTGAAAATCGGAGTAAAATGTGAAAACTCTGTGATTCTTAGACCGAAGATCAAAGGAAATCTTTTATTCTATGATAATTGAGAAGTTTTCTTAGCTAATTGGGGGGAGCACACAAATATACTATGTATTTCATATAATGCATAAATCTTATGGTTGTATTGTTTCACAATCACCATTATAACAATAAGCAGCTTCTGCCAACAGTGTTAATGTTGCTTTTATCCATTCATGGAATCAGTCGGTCTACTATGAGTTAAAACCAGCTATCTTAGAAATTTACTTGCCCTATTTTATGGTGATTCTATCTTCTTCTGCTTTGTTTTACTTTAGTTTGTTTTATACTTATAATTTGGGTTTATGATGTTTTAAACAGGAACAACTTCAAGAACAAGCAAAACTCTGAAGGTTCGGAACCTCGTGATCGCTTGAAATATATTCCCATAGGTTAACGCCAGAGCAATGTAAAAATCTACACTTATTACTCCAATAAATAATTTTTTGAGATCACATTATTACGCCAGAGATATGTAAAAATAATTTTCTGAGATCACATTATTTCAAAAGTTCAACATGTGTTGTGTACCTTACGAGGATCGAGCCTTGAAATATTGTGTTGATGTTGGCACATTGTGTTAAACGTCAATAACAAAATTTTTAACGTGTTGACTCTCAAAATGAGTTGTTGAGTGGGCCATGTTGTGTACTACAGAGAATAGGCAACCCAGCCGATACTTCAGATTCACAGGACTTAATACAACAGGAAAAGAAGACTCCTTAAGGACAAGATGTGCAGTACCAAACTCAAAAGGCAGTAGAAGCTTATTAGAGGATAACAATACAAACCCTTTGTGAGTGAAGTTGAAATATGAAAACGACCATAGTTAACAAATCCAGCACAAAAATATGAACAAAAAGCATATAATTGTTGGAATTTTTATTTTTATTTTTATTTTTTTGAAAAAGCAGTGGATTACAGCAAGTTTCAAACTCAAATAAGGCATCTCTAAACTTCAGCATTGCTTGTAAAGGAAGAACTACTTTTTCATAAAATTGAAAGCGTATGTTCTTTTTTCTATTTTCAGCAATTAGAACTTAAAAGGTACAATAACTTGTATTCTAAGGGAAGAGTCCAGCAGGGCTTGAAACCAGTTTTGGCATTGAAGAAGGGTGAACTTGAAGCAATCCTTGTGATGTCCTCTTGAGAGCATGCACAAACACAAATTACCAAATATCAATTAATCAGCACGCTGCAACAACTAAAGAAAGCGGTACCAATAACCAAAGCTGTAAGAGTAATGATACAAAAACCGAATCGCAATACCAATCAATAGAATTCAACAAGGACTCTGTGTCAGTGAATGCTTCTCCTATTATGTCTATCTAAATAGCTAACACATCAGTCGGGTTTGTTGCCATTGGCAATTATATCATTTTTCATTCTGTAAATGAAAGAAATTACAATTCAGATTGAGATTTTATGGAAAGAATGCGGACTAGTATTCATTTTTGGTTGAGTCAAGTCTACAACTTCATATTATAAATCAGCCCCAAAGATAAAGCATCAACTTGATGAAGTCAACAAGAGTAAGTTTTCCCTTGACTATGAAATCCATACATCACAGATGATCTTATCACTACAAAGGCTACACCATTGAACATCGAGTTCATGAAACTTGAACAACCGAATGTTAGAAATATAAATGGCTTACAGAAATAACTCATCAGACAAAACACCCCATAAGAACATATAAGAAAGGAACAAAATACAAAAAACAACTAATAAACATACAGTGTCTTTTACAAATATGCTCATATGCAAATCAACAACTACGAGGCCTTTTCCCAACTACTTAATTATTTATAAACAGAAGATTAAAATAAATAAAAAAAATTACCCCACACAAGAACAGACCAACATAAAAGAATGAACATAGTAAGCAACTCTTGAAAATCATGTCCACATCCAGTTCACCGCCCTCTGAATGCACCTTCTTTTATTGGTGTGTGTCATAGCAAGATAACAATCCAGTACTGCACATAAAACTTTTGACTCCTTCTGAAACAAAAGGGAAAACCCATTTGGCAAAAGCCAGTGAGGAGGCTTTTATTATCCACCTCGAGAAGCAGGAGCCGAGTTTAAGTAATTAATAATGAAAGTGCTATTTTGCCTAAACAAAAACAAATAAAAAACTGCATTTCATAATTAAGATCTATAAATCTGAAATTAAAACAAAATCAATCTGGTACTAGGCCATGTCTTCCGAAGGGGGTGAATCTTATTCTTCATATCATTATTTATGATAGGCCTTGTGATGTGAAAAGGAAAATAAACACAAAACAAATAGAAACTATAAACCTACAATAAAACCGCCTAGTACTAGGGTGGGTTATTAGAAACTATAAACCTACAACAAAAGAAGATAAAAGTTGATTGTAGACAAAATCAAAAATAAAAAATGTATGTTTTCCATATTCGAGTTGATGTTGGTGCACAAAATTTTCTCCTCTCTTTTCTCGTATTTTCCTTCTCTTTTTCCTCCTCCTCTTCTACTTGTTTAATATGTCAGAAATGAGCAAATGGGCTTTAAGCTCTTTTTATTCCTCTAATCCTTTCAATGAACACCTTTTGAAAACTATTAACCAAGACGCCATTTGAATTTTTTATTTTTTTTTTAAAAAGTTTAATTTTAACCAACCATATCCATGAAGCATCCAGCAGCATCAGCACCTGTCTATGTTGTAGTTCTGGTCATGCAACAACAGGCCCCGAGGAGGGAGGACTTGAGATTGACATAATGTTTGGTATTTACAAAATGTCTGCTCTGAGGCTCGAACTCGCACGAATAGCATTGATGGTCAACTGTTAAACTGCTGAACCAGGGAACAGCTTCCGAAAACACAACGGATGCAGGGATTCAAGCCCAGGTCTTCACGGCAACAACCTAGTTCAAAAATTTATCTTCTTTTTTTTTTTGATAAGCAGTTCAAAAAATTTATCTTATAACTCCGGATACAACTAAAATATCTAAAACCCATACGACAAGTGGAGTCTTATGGCACAATTTATTGTAGGACAATAAAGCATCATAAGTAAATTTGTGCTACAAAATTTTAACCAAAAAGAAAAAACGAAAAAAAAACAAAAAGAAAAGATTAAAATCAAATAACAGCATATCCCTCAAAATGCCTATTATCTACCTAGCATGAACTCATGGTTCCTCAACCTCAGCAATGAGCTTGCAAGAGAGAGCACCAAAGTTTACAAGTTCCATGCAAAAAATCAGATTACTAAATACTTCATCATTGGGATATGAACATGTAAAAGCAAAATGGTAGAAGATTTGTTTAAATCATGAAAATCAGATTAGGGAGACATAAAATTTAACACTGGCATAATAGATGCACAATATGCCAAAGCCACAACAAGTGACCTCGGTAAATAAATTTAGTAGAAATTTTAAAACTGTTAAGCAACCATTTTAAAATTAATATTCTTGTCATAAGTTTCTCCAAACAATGAATCATGCCAAGTGATTGACCTAGCAATCATTATCTTTAGTTTGTAAAATAATTTTGTTTAGTTCAAAATTTTGGTCGCAACCTTGCATAATTATTTGGACAAGTAAATATAACTGATAGATCAAGAGTGGCCAATATCTGGAAACAGAATTGCCTCATGGATGCAGCTAACCATCATAATCAAGGGATATTTATATTAACGAGGGCACCAAAATCCAACATATTTTGAATTCTTGATAAGGATTAAAACCAGATCCAACCCAAGGCACTTGTGAAGTAACTAGTCAGCACTAAGCACATTATACTTATACATGAAACATACCAGGGAAAAGAAAAAAACCCTTCTTGGCCTAATACTGCAAGTTAAGGCATACTAAGAGGATGGAAAAAGGAACTGGTCAAGCCATCTAATGAATCATTCTCTAGTCAAAGCGATGTTCAAACTAAACAAAATGCTACTCATCCCAACTAAATTAAATACCAATAGAAGTATTTGAGGCAATTTTTTAAAATCATGAGATAACAAAGGTCATATAGTAGTAAGAGGGAAAAAAAAAAAAGTTGTGTCAGCATAAGGGAAATGCAACAAAGTGTGACGTGTAAAACTGCATTTGGCTTTGGATTAATAGCCATGCATTTAATTTCTTCTTTTCCAACATTCTTCCTTGTTCTAAACCTCAAAACAACCATTTCCATAACCTGTTAAGTTGCACCAGACTTGAAATTTTTGGCAACAACTAATACAATAAGCCACCGGTTGGTTCATAGATTAAGTAAAGGATGAAAAAGACAATGCAGAGGAAATCAATCTTCCTTATTAAGGTACCACAAAAATAATGAGGATAACAAGATTAGACAGAAAAGAAATATACATGTCATTTCTCTTTTTCTCTTTTTCCTTATTCAAGATAACTTGTGACAAATTTTGAATTTTTCATCTCATCCAAAGAGGAGAAAATTTGAAAGAAACCATTTTTTTTTTTTTTTTTACTTTGAGCTTTCATTTTCTTATACTTCTAAATCTGCAAACCGAACAAACTAACAATGTATGCTGATTAAACTGACAATTGAAATTCTTAGCTGCACTGTCCATTGGATAATCACTATAGTGTAAATATAAATGTGTGTGTATACGAAAAATCTGACCCAATGAACCAAACGTTTGAATGAAACCAATAGTCTCGTACCATTCAACACAAACACTTTCATACAAATAAACAAACAAATAATGTATGTATGTACTATGTAGAAGCAACACAATTCATAAACAGCCAAAAACACCCAATATCATAAAACCAAGAAAAAAGAACTTAACACCATTAATGAAGAGCCAAACAGTTTGATTGGCATTGCATGGTAAAAACCCTAATCTTATTTCATCAATAAAATGTACATTTCAAGGCATATAAGCTAATATGAGTATATTTTTATAGAGAGAGAAAGAAATAGAGTACTCTTTCCCGTCGGCAGTGTGCTCTTTGGGGCGGCTCTTGAGAGTTGAGGCACGCCGGCGTAATCCAACTCGACTACAGAAACGCTAGGGTTTATATGGACTCCAGCCTAACGGGCTTTTGGGATGACTTTTTGGGCTTGGAAGCCCGTTTAGCGGCCCCAAGATGTCCCAAACACGCCCTTAGTATTTCATTTTAAATACTTGGTTTGATGGGAAGGAAGAAAGGAAGAGAGGTTGAGGGACGATGGGGGATGGAATAAATTGGAGGAGAAAATCTTTATGTATCTAAACTCTCAGGGTAAGTTTGTGATTTGTTTCTAGCATTTTTTTTTTAAACCATTACTATTATTATTATTATTTTTTAATTGGTACTCAAATATATTTGTCTCTTTTGAGATTTAAACCTGACCTCTCTTTAAGAGGTAAGAGACTGATACCGCTAGATCACTGCGGTTAGTTTTCACCATATTATAGTTAAGAATTTAATTACAAGATAAACAATAAAGAGACACCAAGTCACCAAAGATGAAATAATTAAAAAAAAAAATAATATGCAGAGAGGACATGATGAAGTGTAAGTGTTAGTAGTCTTGTAAGTTCAAATTAACAATATAACAATTTAAAAAAATTATGAATTTAATAACTTTAAATCAACAATATATTAATTATATAAAATATATTAAATTTTAAACATTAATATTATTGTAACTTTATGACAATGTACTATGTTGAATGAATGTTCCATGTTTAATATAAATGTTGCATAAATCTGAGGCAGTTATTGCGTAAGTATTGACCCTAACACGTTGCACAACTAATTTACCATTTCATTGAATGAAAGATTGTCAAATAAGGGGATCAAGTCAATCTAATTGTTCAAGTGCTTTGAGATTTTGTTTTTTAGTTCGAGTTAATCATATAGTAAGGCATGGCAAGAAGGTCCCTAACGCAGTAGCAAAATTATCTCGACATACAAGATTCTTCATTGCGATTCTCTATTGCTTCATTTTTCAATGGATATTCTCCTTCTTGCCGATCGCGACATGGCTAGTAATAAGAGTCTATCCTCTCTTCAGTTGTTCGTTTGCTAGGATAAAAAAAAAAAAAAAAAAAAAAAAAAATGATTATAACTAATTATGTAATTTTTAAAAAATATATATAATGAGTAGTAATATTTCGATAGAAAAGTAGGAGAGTTGTTGTGAATTGTCAAATCAAATAATTTTGATTTGGTTATTTATGTAAAATACAAATAAGTAGAGGTCACAATCTCCAATCTAGGACTAATTAAAAATAATAGGCATGATAATTCATTGTAATTATTTGGTAAAAAAATTATTTTTTATATACAATAAGGTAAAAGTATACTCGTATATATATATAATTTTTGACGCGGCTAGATCTCAGTGGTGTCTTGACCATTGCCAAGTCAAAGTATTACAGTTTACCATGCAACACTTTTCCAGTTCGTTCCACTCTCTCCATTTACATGCCTGCACTTTCGTTTCTCTGTAATTCGTTATATACATATGTGTGGGGGTGTATATATATATATTGACGAATACTGTTCAAAAGCGATTGAGAAATGATTGGAGTGGGTAGATCTCTATATTTCTCTCTCTAGAACTGTCGGTGTCGGTGGAGTGAGAGAGAGTAGTTCACAGCTGCTGTATGATACGTCGCTTTCGTCCCTTGTAAGCCAATTTTCTTAGTATTTATTCTACAGCTATGCAGATAGAGAGAGAAATTGTAGAGAGAGACACACGAATTATTGAGACATATATGATATAACTCTCGACCAACATTCACATCGAGAAAGAGATCGAGAGAGAAAGAGAGCTTTGCTCTCGCTCGTCTTCTGCTTCACTAAAATTGATTCACTCTCTCTCTCTTTACCTCTGCAACATTGGCTGGAATTCAAATTGATCTTGATCGACTGAGCTTCACATTCAGACGAATTCAATCGATTCCGAGTCCGAAGACATTGTGTTGTTTGACGATTTGAGAATTGCGAGAAAGATAATCAGATCCTGAGGTATTCACTATGTTTTGTTATGTATTGCTTTTTGCAAAATGCTGTGTTTGGTTGCTCAGAAAACTTATTACAGTATAATCAAAATATAATCAAAATGTTGAGAATTAACGTACACTGAAATGTGAATTAGACAAACATTGGGATTAATTGAGATGGGTTTTTCTCAAATTTTTTTTTGGTAAAACTATAAATGATATGTGATGTATGGGATTAATAGAGATTTTACTTTCATCTATCTCCTTTGTTATGTAAATTGGGCACTTTTCTCTTTATGATGTATGTAATCTATGAGTTTTGGGAAACTTCTGAAAAATGCAATCTAATTCTCAGTTTCCTTTTTATGTGTCACTCGCAGATCTGGAAGACTATAAAAAGGAGATTGTGCTGCTTTCTATGCATGTGGAGAAGTGTGAAGCTTTAGGCATGTTAATTGGCTTTACGACGGAATCCTAATTGCTGGCCATTATACGCAATTGAGCAAAAAGAAGCTGGTGACAATGGAATCAGAAGGAGAAACTGGGGTCAGTATTGGAAAAAAAAAACTTCCTTTCTTGTATACAGTAAAAAAATATCCAAACAGAACTATTATCATCCTCTGCGAATTTTTATTTATTTATGTTAAATTGGGTGTATTTGTTTTTATCTAGATTGCCCAATTAGTGGATTCTATGAAATATCATAACTCTTAATTTCAAATAATTTCTGCAATTTTCCCTCTTTTATTTGTTTGGTTGTTTGGGTATGTTAGTTTGTTCAAGTTGTTCAGTTACTGGGTTTAGTTAGAGTCTTTAGATCTATATTTGTCCTATCACTGGATTGTTGGGTTTCTTAATTTTGTGAATTGTGATAATTGATTAGGGGAAGTCCTTGAAGAGCCTGGGTGGTCAGGTCTGCCAGATCTGTGGTGATAATGTTGGCACAACTGTGGCTGGTGAACCATTCATTGCTTGCGATGTCTGTGCATTTCCCGTTTGTAGGCCTTGCTATGAGTATGAGAGGAAGGATGGAAATCATTCTTGCCCACAATGCAAAACCAAATACAAGAGACATAAAGGTTTGTTCAACGTAGTGAAGGGTATTTTACTTGATATCATCAGATTTAAGGGACACCGTATATATGTTGTGTGCATGCGTATGATATACTTAAGCTACACCTTATCAAACAACTTAAGCTTTTAGAACAGCTGGTTGTTATATGTTGAAGAAATAGGTAAGGTCTGATCTCGAATCTCACCGTCACCCTTGTAAATTAATTGATGCGTGTATTTGGTCTACTCGAGTCCGGCTACATGTGAGGAGTCATGTTTGTGGAGCTGTTAGACAAGGCATAACTTAAGTATTTCGGTAGTATTTATGTCCTCTGCATGTAACTAAAGTATTTATATCATCTTCTAACCCATCCCCATTTTTCTGACATGTTGCCAAAGTGCCGATCGCAAGTGGGCGAAATACATGCAACAATTAATCATTATTAGAGTGGCTGCAAAATTTGAGCTCAGAACCTTACCTGAAGACAAAGAAACATAAAATTGAGAATATTGTCTGTCATAGCATTTCTGATTTTGATACTACTTTTTCCCATTAAGCTCATCTAATTTGATTTAGATGCTTTTCTCAGTAATTAGCTTGTCAATTGTTGTTTAAGAACATCTTGAATGTTGTGAATGGTATAATTTTATGTGATTCTGGATATTAATGAATGAGGATGTGGTCCTGCATCTATGCCCCTCCCTAGAGTTTGCTATTACTAGTAGTTGACTGACTTTTTCTAATTGTGTTGTCTTTGAGCAATCCGCTGAGATTTCAACTGCAGTTAATAAATCTAAGGTCCCAAATGTTTTTTTTTTTTTTCTTGTTAATTTAATATAACATTAACTGATATGATTCTAGGAAGCCCTCCTATTGGTGGCGACAGAGAGGAGGATGGTGATGCTGATGATGGTGCCAGTGATTTTCATTACACTTCAGAGACTCAAAATCAGAAGCAGAAGGTTGCAGAGCGCATGTTGAGCTGGCAGATGACATATGGACGAGGGGAGGACGTTGGGGCTCCAAACTATGATAAAGAGGTTTCTCGCAACCACTTTCCATTGCTCACTAATGGACAAGAGGTGAGTCGATAAGCTTCCAATGTGCTATCCTTTATTTCAGCATGTAATCTGCAGTGAAATTAATCTTTTCCATTGCTCTATTTTAGGTTTCTGGAGAGTTGTCTTCAGCATCCCCTGAAAGGCTTTCTATGGCATCTCCCGGACCTGGTGGTGGCGGGAAGCGCATACATCCACTTCCTTATGTGTCAGATGTGAATCAATCACGTATACCTGTTTTTCACGTGTTCTATGTACCTTGTTCATTTGTATATATGTGTTGATTCATTGTAATTTCAATTTCTTAATAAATTTCTTTTTGCAGCTAATATTAGGGTTGTGGATCCAGTAAGGGAGTTTGGATCCCCAGGATTGGGCAATGTAGCCTGGAAAGAGAGAGTTGATGGCTGGAAGCAGGAGAAGAATGTTGTTCCAATGGCCACTAGCCATGCTGCTTCTGAAGGCAGGGGAGGTGGAGATATTGACGCCAGTACCGATGTGCTGGTGGATGACTCTTTACTGTGGGTTCCTACTTGACTGAATTTTGTGTTTTTGCTGTTCTGTGGGGTCCTGATTGAGCTTAATTTTCTGTGTGGTACTTGTGGCTAGCCTATCAGAGATCTCAATTCTCAAGATGACTAGTGTTTTTTGTGTTTCAAAATAACAGCAGCTTTACTCCTTAGACAAAATTTCAAAGATTGCTTTAGAGTGTGTTGCAATATTTGCAATTGAAATGAAGACAGTGTTGTGTGTCATTAAAGCACGGCTGCTTGATTTGTCTTTGCCTAACAGTTTCTGGTGCCACTAATGTTGAGTTTCCCTTGGTTCATTTATTTATTTATTCATTTTGTGTGTGTTCTTTATTTACTTGCTTCTTAGTCTTGATGCAGCTAGGATTGGTTTTCATGCTTATTTTCGTTTGTTGTGCAGAAATGATGAAGCTCGGCAGCCTCTCTCAAGGAAGGTTTCTGTTCCGTCCTCCAGGATAAACCCTTACAGGATGGTTATTGTCCTGCGGCTCATTATTCTCTCTATTTTCTTGCACTACCGGCTTACAAATCCTGTGCCCAATGCTTATGTTTTGTGGTTGATATCTGTGATATGTGAGATTTGGTTTGCAATATCTTGGATATTGGATCAGTTCCCTAAATGGCTTCCAGTAAACCGTGAAACATATCTTGACAGGCTAGCGCTTAGGTGAGGAAGTTTTTTCCCACTTATCCATCCACCTATTTTATTGTGTGATTAGTTGGTTATCATTTTACATCCAGTATCTATGTCACTTGAGTTCCAATGTACTGACTTGAAAATGTAATTCAAAATTAAATGGTAACAGATATGACCGAGAAGGAGAGCCATCACAATTAGCAGCTGTTGACATTTTTGTCAGTACTGTTGACCCCTTAAAGGAGCCCCCTCTTGTTACTGCCAATACTGTATTATCCATTCTTGCAGTTGATTATCCAGTTGACAAGGTCTCATGCTACGTCTCCGATGATGGATCCGCTATGTTGACATTTGAAGCTCTCTCGGAAACATCAGAATTTGCAAGAAAATGGGTTCCTTTCTGCAAGAAGTTTAGCATTGAGCCACGGGCACCAGAATGGTACTTCGCGCAGAAAATTGACTACTTGAAAGATAAAGTTCAACCCTCATTTGTCAAAGAACGTAGGGCTATGAAGGTGGGTGATTTAGTTTATGCATGCAATTGTATTTTCTCTTTCTTCTGGTGCAGCATATTTATGTCTATTTGTTTGCTGTATTGTAGAGAGAGTATGAAGAATTTAAAATTCGAATCAATGGACTTGTCGCAAAGGCTCAGAAAATTCCTGAAGAAGGATGGATCATGCAAGATGGTACACCATGGCCTGGAAACAACACCAGGGATCATCCAGGAATGATCCAGGTAACTTCAGTCTTACATATGTAGGTTTGATTGTGCTAAAATGCTGAGTGCATGGTCCCTTTAAGTTTAGCATGAGGATGTCAAAACACTTCTTTTTGTCACAAAACTTACATTTTTAGGGAACTAACAGATATGACAGTCTTATTCATATCTTGTGGAACTTATGTCCTTTGAATTTGTACTTGTATTTGTATATGAAAGCTATGGTGTTATTCTCTTGTCGTCTCTTTTATTGCTTTGCCTCCTCTGATTATCCTAATTTTAATTCCCATCTACATGATTTTTGAGTCCCAAAGCAGAATTTTTCAATATAGGTTGCTTCTCTGCAGCATAATATTTTCAGTCTAAAATTGGCTTTATTTTTTATTACTTGCAGGTTTTCTTAGGCCAAAGTGGAGGACTTGACAGTGACGGTAATGAGTTGCCACGGTTGGTCTACGTTTCTCGTGAGAAGCGTCCTGGCTTCCAGCATCACAAGAAAGCCGGTGCTATGAATGCGCTTGTGAGTTGTTAACAGTTAAAATGAGAGCTTGCTTTATTCATGCCTCAGAATATATAACCTATAATGGTCAATGTAACTCTCTTGCAGGTTCGAGTATCGGCAGTCCTTACTAATGGACCATTCATGTTGAATCTTGATTGTGATCATTACATAAACAACAGCAAGGCATTGAGAGAAGCTATGTGTTTTATGATGGATCCAAACCTTGGAAAATATGTGTGTTATGTGCAGTTTCCACAGAGATTTGATGGCATTGATAGGAATGATCGATATGCCAACCGTAATACAGTTTTCTTTGATGTGAGTCCTTTCGTCATTATTTTTATGTACTCTATGTTGTTATATTAAATTTTTTTTATTAAGGGGTATTTTTGTGCGCCATGTGTCAAATAATGTTTCAGTAAGTAGATGAACATTCACTTACCAGGAAATTGTGATTAGAATAACATTCAAATTTCTGATTCTTTACTCGTTCTGCCCACTACTTATGACCTTATTGTTTTCTTTGTGGAACTAGATTAACTTGAGAGGTCTGGATGGCATTCAAGGCCCTGTTTACGTGGGAACTGGATGTGTCTTCAATAGAACAGCTTTATATGGTTATGAGCCTCCTCACAAGCCTAAGAATAAAAAACCAGGGTTGTTCTCATCCTTCTGTGGTGGATCGCGGAAGAAAAGTTCTAAATCAAGTAAGAAGGGCTCGGACAAAAAGAAATCTAGCAAGCATGTAGATCCCACTGTGCCAATTTTCAGTCTTGAGGATATAGAGGAGGGGGTTGAAGGTGCACTTTCTAAATTCTTGTTAGTTTACACCTTGCTTGATCATCCAACTAAAACTACACCAAGTTGGATTCATTTACAATCCAGTTTCATTGTTTAATATGGAGGAAATTATTGCATTGACATTCTGATACTCGTTGACCTTAACAGTGTCGTGATTACATAAAAATCGATGAAATTAAGCACACACTTGTAACAAACTGCATAACAATACTCTTTTCATTTCCCCCCAATCCTAGCATGTTTACGGGATCTGGCCTAGTCCTCACTCCGAGTCAACAGTTCAACTGGTGATTTGCATGGTCAGAGTGTGAACTTGAAAATTCATGTTCCAGAAATAATTAATGCATGAAGATAGAATGGCTGTTGATATATTTTATACAATTAAATAATTACATTAAATTACAGATATGATATCTCGCTGTCTAATTCATGAGTATTTACAAAATGTTAGCATTTAGGCAACCATATGTACACATCCATAAAAAATATATAATAATAATAATACAATGTACTATGGCATGATTTTTCATCCTGGGAAAAAAATTAAGTAGAACATAATTACAAACATGTGCATTTTAGAATTTAGAGTTGGTTATTGCTTGTTGTACTTGAATGTTCGTAGGACTAGCACTAAGGCTCAAATGGGAAGTCACGCAAGGTCCACTGATCTAGACCCATGAATAGGTCTTGTAGAACAAATCCAAGTCTAGGGGTGGGCTCTGGTGGGCTTGAGCCCACCCCAAAAAAAAAAAATTTTTTTTTTTACTATAGGCAATTTTAGCCCAGCCCCCAAAAAAAGAAGTATTACTAGTATTAGCCCACTCCATTGACAATTGACAATTCCTGGATCCGCCCTTGACTATGTATTTATAGGCAGCAAGTTGGTCTAGAGAAATTAGGTTTTTGCAGTTTAAAACCAAGTTGGAAATTGCTATTCCAAATAGCTCAATTGATCGAAGCTGATGTCAATTGATCGAAGTTGATGTTGATTGATCGACATCTCTCCAGAATGCTTCGATCAATACCTTGATCAATCAAACTCTCCTATAGGTTTGTGCTTAGAAATTTTTTATTAAGGAAGTTTCCAAAACTTTTTCATGCAACTTTAAAACAATTTAGGGAATCAATGTGTGCATGAACCCGAATTTGGTGAATGCATCAATGTGTCAAATTACCTTTATACCTTTGTAAACAAAGATTACCAAAATACCATTGGTTGTAGCTGAATTCTATCTTTGACCTTGCGAGGTAACTAAAACTAACTAACTTTTAAAAAAAAAAAAAAAAGACTAAGCTAATTAAACATAGGTCCAGACTGAATTTTTGTTCCATGAAATTTGCCAATTTAAGTACTGTTGTCCTATAAGCTATAAGTACTTAATCTAATTTACATATCTATGACAAGATTATATGCTTGTTTATGCATATGTATGTGGTACCAACAGGCCTGTGGCCTAGCGGTTTAAGGCTCCTACCTCCCAAAGGGAGGTCAGGGGTTCGAACCTCAGTGGAGGCAGTGTGTGTGAGTTTCCCAACTAGGAAAAAAAAATAAATAAAAAAAAAATATATGTATGTGGTTCTTTTACGTAGAAATTCAATGGAGATCAAGATCTGACTGGGCCTGCATAAACTGCACATGACTTGCCTCTACTTTTGGAGAAGTGGCTAGGATAGAAAAAATTAGGGATGATAATATTAGGGAGGCTTATTTTTGTATTTCCTATTGTAGGGTTTGCCTATGCTTTTGCCTATGTAAATGCTCCTATGTAACCAAGCATTTCTAACTTTAATTATTGAGTTATATCATGATTTTCAAAAATTCCCTCTCTGTTCTTCTTCCCCAACTTTTGCTCTTCCAATCCCTCTGTCTAATCTATCTCTTTAATCATCTATTTTCTCATATCTTTCTTTTTGTCTCATCTCATCTTCTACTTCTCATATACTGTTTTCTTCTTCTACAACAAATTATTAGAGATTCAGTGTTAATTGGTATCAGAGCACTATTTTGTCCTGCATCAAGTGGTATCAGAGCATTTATGTCCTGCATCAAATATGAGTTTGATTTTTTTGTTGTTGATAAATTATATTAAAATAGAAGCTTAAACTGAGCCATGTTTCTACTTTAGCGGGCATGGATCCTTCTGTTGATATTTATATTGACTATTTGTTGTTAAACATGAGTTATTATTATCCACATGGTCTTTGTTCTTAAAGTTCTTCATCTTACTTGGTTTTCCCTTCACATTTCCTTATTAAATTTCAAAATAGGTGCTGGGTTTGATGATGAGAAGTCGTTACTCATGTCACAAATGAGCCTCGAGAAAAGATTTGGCCAGTCTGCTGTTTTTGTTGCATCCACACTTATGGAGAACGGTGGTGTTCCTCAGTCAGCAACTCCAGAGACTCTTCTCAAAGAGGCTATTCATGTTATCAGTTGTGGGTACGAGGATAAATCAGAATGGGGAAGTGAGGTGTGTTGGTTTCTATGCTTTTAGTCTTAGATTCCTTATTGTGTTTCATGTATTATTACCACTGAATTATTACCTTTCATTGATTAGTAAATATTGTCCATATCAAAATTTGAAGTACACAATCCAATAATGTAGGTTGTTATGCCAGCAAGTGGGCTTGTGTTTAAAACACTCTAAAGTCTAGTGAGCACTTTTAGCCTTCATACTCGAGATACTGTCAGATGTCGATATTGTCCTGGTTAAATTATGTCCTTTAGCTTTGTAATGAAAAATAAAATGATAACAAATAAAGAGGAAAATCTTGCTGAAAACTGATCAACAAATTTTATGACGTTTAAAAGTTGCTCCTTCTATCAATATTTTGTTTTCTTTCTTTTGAAAGCATGAGGAACAAGACATTATTTATCTCTAGCAATCTGTTTTGCTGCCTACAGAACACAGGACTAGAACAATATCTTTATGGTGAACATTCAGGGCGTAGAAAAATATTTATTTCAGCTCTATAACCCAAAAAGGGAATTAATTGATGAACTTGCTTTCTCTTGATTACTTAACTAACTTGTACAACTCATTGGAATGTGTTTTCTTCAAAAAAAATTGATTGAGGTGTAAAGTATCAATATTTTGCCTGTGTTTACACCACAATGTTTCTTTTCTTCCTTTTTTGGGGTTTCTGAAGAAAATTATCCCTATTTTTGTTCTCATTTTTCCCTTGTCTTTCAAGTTGATTTATAATTTATTTAGAATCCTTTTTTCTATTATTGTCTCAATTTTTGTCGCTGGATCTGCAGATAGGATGGATTTATGGTTCTGTCACAGAAGATATTCTTACAGGATTCAAGATGCATGCACGTGGTTGGCGATCGATTTACTGCATGCCCCAGCGTCCAGCCTTTAAAGGGTCTGCTCCTATTAATCTTTCAGATCGTTTGAACCAAGTGCTTCGATGGGCTTTGGGGTCTGTCGAAATTCTTCTCAGCCGACATTGTCCTATTTGGTATGGATATGGCGGAAGGCTTAAATGGCTTGAGAGATTTGCATATATAAACACAACCATTTACCCAATCACTGCCATTCCTCTTCTTATGTATTGTACTTTGCCGGCTGTCTGTCTACTTACTGGAAAGTTCATTATTCCACAGGTTCGTTATATCTCCATGGTTCCCATTTGGACGCACTTTTTTTCCTTCTCTCTCTAATTCTAAAACTAAAAACGGGCACTGTTTGACAATAGTTGGCCTCTCCGTACATTTTTTTTATTGTCTACCCCACCTACATCTAACACGAGAAAATAACGTGAATATACTACCTCTCTATACAAAATTTCTTTAATTGTCTCATTCTGCTGCAGATTAGTAACTTTGCGAGTATCTGGTTTATATCCCTCTTTCTTTCCATCTTTGCAACCGGTATATTGGAAATGAGGTGGAGCGGTGTTGGAATAGATGAATGGTGGAGGAATGAACAGTTTTGGGTTATTGGTGGAGTTTCAGCCCATCTATTTGCTGTTTTTCAAGGTCTGCTCAAAGTTCTTGCTGGGATTGACACCAACTTCACTGTCACCTCCAAGGCATCGGATGAAGATGGGGATTTTGCCGAACTCTACCTGTTTAAATGGACAACGCTTCTGATACCGCCCACAACCCTTCTCATAATAAACTTGGTGGGTGTTGTTGCAGGCATCTCATATGCCATCAACAGTGGTTACCAGTCTTGGGGTCCACTCTTCGGCAAGCTATTCTTTGCCTTTTGGGTGATTGTTCATCTCTATCCCTTCCTCAAGGGGCTGATGGGGCGCCAGAACCGAACCCCCACCATTGTTGTCGTCTGGTCAATTCTCCTTGCTTCCATTTTCTCTTTGCTGTGGGTGCGGATCGATCCCTTCACCACTAGGGTAACTGGTCCAGATGTTGAGCAATGTGGAATTAACTGTTAAGACAGAAAAGAACTGAACATCTGAGAACAGTCACTGTTTCTCCTGACAGAACAAAAGCTTGCGATGTTGGAGCCACGTAACCATTCTGTCACGTTTGTGCCGTACCCATCTGGCTCTGAGCATGTCTATGTGAAGCTCACAATTGTGCAGTAGACAGAAATGGCTAAAATCATCTTGCTGTTCGAGGAGTGATTATAACATTATCCGTCAAACGTCCTGTTTTTGTCCAAGTTTAAGAGGAGCTGGGTGGGAAATTTGTTTTTTGGATTTTTTTTTTTTTTTTTTGAATGTTTTACATTTTTTACCTTCACTATGCTGGAAACATAGGCTGGAACAATTGTCCTTTTTTTCTTTGTTATACAATTTAAAGGTCTTATTTATTCAAGTGAAATTTTTCTATATATTTGTATGAGAAACTTGTGTTTACTTTCTGCAATGTCCATTGTTGTTTGCTTGAAGATGAGAATGTTTAGACAATTGAAGGTAAAGTTAATTTAATACCCATATAATTGAGTGGATGCTCTCTCCTTCAATCTAGTTGCATTTTGAGTTTTGGCAGTTCTTTGGCTTATTGGATCATACATGCCTCTTGAGAAATTTTGTACAAGAAAAAATTTGTCACTAACCTAAGTAGCAAAGATAGGGACACGGAGATGGTACGACCTAAATCACATAATTCTTCTAAATAGGTGTTACTCTAATGCTTTGCACGTGTTTCCACTTTCATGATATGTGCACGCTCCATTATGTGTGAACATATTTATATATATATATATATATATATATATATATATATTGAGTATGACAATTACAGAACTTCAATTCATTTTCAATTTCTATACTAAGAGCTATTCTTCTAAATATTCTGACGTAATTTAGAAGATGAAATTATGTGATTATTGTAATAATTTTTATTATGAACTTTTATGCAGTTCTAATTTTTATACTATAAGCTATTTTAACATAATTTAGAAGATGAAATTATGGATTATTGTAATGATTGTAATTATATTAATTATCCTACTATTAGACTATTTTGTCCTTACAAATTTACAATTATGTTTTGTTCTATATGAAAAATAATAATAATAATAATAATAATCTCATTGTATGCGTCATTTTTTACCATGTGAATAAATGCCGGCTTTTTCTTAAAGTAAAAAGTTAAGAAATTTGAAATATGTTCAGCATTATTTCTAATATTACAGAAGATGATTTCTCTAAATATATTTTAATGTATATGAGATTCATGTTAGATGTCAGGAAAATGTTGGCGAAGTGTTTGAAAAGTGTTAAAAAATATCAATACGAAGTATTTGCCAAGTGTCTAAAATAATTAAATTAAATTAAAATTTTAAATTATGAACACGAGCATGAAATGCGTTCGAGTACTCGTAAAGTGTCATGTCGCACATGAACATGGTTCATTCCTAGAATTGTTCATTCTTCTTAGTCACAAATTCATTAAACAAACATATGATGGTATAGAGCTTGTATGGCCCAGGCCCCTCTGTTGGACAGTTCAAAGTTCGGTTCATAAATCATTGCTCCGAAAAAAACATCAAACAAGTTAAAAGGAAAATTTTATCATGCGGACTATCTTATATCGGGCAGAGGCCCAGGTTTTTTTTGTTTTTTTAAAAGAGGCCCAGGTTGAGAATCAGACTTTTAGTAAAAAAAACAAGAGACAATATTTTTTTTTTAATAAGTTACCCCAAAAAAAGGGATGCAAAATGAGGATTTTCAGGGAATCACTCATCCTAATACTACTCTCACCTAAATACGTTTAAATGTAAAGTTTTTATGAGATGCATTAGTCTTGATATGATCATATCCCATAGCAAGAGACTTTGCCAATAAAGTAAGTTTCATCTAACACTATTATTAATACTAATTTTTTATTTAATCAACACAATACTCTAAAGTTAGTCACAACTCTAAGGAATTGGCTTTAATGGTGAAGTCCTCGAACTTAATGCCTCACAAAACATTAAGTCTCAAGTTTGAATCCTCTCGAATCCGATTAGTTCTTTAGGAATCATGGCTACAGATACAGTACGAACTTTATCCAACTAATTTATTTTGTGTCTAATTTATATTTTATTGGACATATATATATATATATATATATATATATATATATTGTTTTTAATTCTCGCACGTTATTTATGGAATCAAATTTTATTTATTTAATGCCTTATTAAATTAGTGATGATATAACTACCAAGCCTTTCTAACAATAAAAACAACCTAAAATCTATAAATGGGCCACTACCTGGTTTAAATGGTTTTTAAAATTTCAATCAAAAATTTATTTTTATTGAATTGTGTTTTAAAAAGTTGTTTATATATTTTGGACCCTAAGTGCAAGGCCAAAATTCACTATCATAACAAAAGAAGTATAATAAAATATAATAGGAAAAGGAGTATGTGTGGTGGACTCATTCATTTGAGAAATATAATAATAATAATAATAATGACTATTAGGATGAATAGTGGAGTCAGAAATTCATAGGAATGGTAAATGGGCTGAGTTTGGGTTGATTAAAAATGGGCGGGTCAAATATGGGTCAAGACCTATTTCAACTCGTTTAGAACGGACTAAAAATAAACGGGTCAAAAATGTATAGAGTTTATTTTTTTATTTTTTTTAATTTAATTTTTTTAATTTATAATTTTTTTTTAAATTTTAATTTTTTAATTAATTTTAATTTTTTTAATAATTTTTTTCGAAAGGTTTTAAAATTTTATTTAATAACAAATAATAAAAAAAAAAATCTCAAACTCAGTAATATTTATCGACTCGTTTTAAAGAGAGAAGTGAAAGAAAGAGAAGAAATCTTTAGAGAGAGAAACTTAGAGAGAGGGAATTGATGAGAGACAAATTTAGAGGGAAACAATCGTGAGTGAAAGAATTTTAGAGAGAGAAATGAATTGAGTGCAATATAGAATAGATGTGCGTTAATTATGTAATTGGTGAAATATGGGTTGAATATGAACCCATCTTGACTTTCAAATTAAGTAGTTAAAAATTACCCAACTCATTTTAAACATGTTTCATCTAAAATCATTAAAAAGTAGGCAGATATGAGCAAATTGATGGATTGTGTGACTCATTTTATCACCCCTAGAAATTTAATTATGCAATTATGACAACCCAAATATAATAACATCGGTTTTCAATTTTTTTTTTATTTTTTTTGTCAAATCAAGAATCTAAATCATGTCCTAAAGGCTAACGTGATGACATCCTAACAACTCTATATCATGTATTTTATGTATTGATTTGAATGTAATATTGCATAAACAACGAAAAACGTCACGTGCGGGTGAAATTCATACTTCGTTCATCAACCTTATATTTGTCAAATTTTAAAATTTTAGTAGTCACAAAATAACCTCCTTTATATTATGTATTATGTAATTCATATATTGATTTGATTATAAAAAGTTACATAAACAACGAAAAATATCTTGTGCGAGTGAAATTCATAATTCCTTCATCAACCTTATATTTGTCAAATTTTAAAATTTTAGTAGTCACAAAATAACTTCCTTTATATTCATAAATTCACATTGTCGACTTCTTAATTTAATACAGTACAATCCCAACGCACGCGCACAAAAAGATTAACAGATAACGTGAACCTTCGAGAAAATACCAGATGCCTTTGAGCCCGCAAATATTTTTATTCTGTTTTTGTATGACACACAATCCACCCACCATCCCAAAAAACAAAGATCACAACAATCACGTGACCTCACACGTGGTTTCATCATATCCTTTGCATGGAATATACCACGTGTCCAACACTCTGACGATTCGCAGCATCACCATAATTCATATACAGCCTAATCATCACTCCACGTGTAAACTGTCGCGATGAGTACACCTGCCCAGATGCTCGACACGTGTCCCTCTACCAATATTTATCCCAAGTACTGTTGCTATATAATCGCAGTTGGTCCACCTGATTCCCCTCACCTTTTTCAGGGATAGAATCTCGGCTCTTTCTGTCGGCAAGAAAAATTTTCATTTCCATCTTTTTCCGAGAAAATAGTGACAGGGAAAAAACATGGCAAAAGTTGAGGAACCAATCCTATCTAGACTCGACCGACTTGACAACATTGTAAGTACCAATCTTTTTGGGGTGTGTTTGGATACGTTATTTGATTTAACATTATTTTTCAAATTTGGTTAACATCAATCAAGTAGGATAATATATCTTGTATTTGCGATATTTTAGAACAATTTTAATTTTAATTTTAATTTTAAAGCGTATTATATACAGTATAATTTAAATGTCCTTAATAATTTTTCTTTAAGCAAAAGGATTTAAATTGGAAGGTGAATTTAGTTTTGTAAGCTTTTATTAAGTGGTCACGATCATTCACACAAGTGACACGAATTGTGTTTTAATCGATTTATGTATGATTTTCAGTTGAGGCAATTGGAGGAAATTAGAGGGCATAATAGGTCAGCAAGGAGCTCTTGTGCATCCACACCGTCGAGTGGGACCCTCACAAGTGATGGTCAGGCCTCGTCCGTTGATTTCTCTCCGAAGAGCCTAGAGAAGCACTGCCGTCCGATTGACGACGTGGTCATGGAGACTGAGCACAAAGGAACGCTTATTGAGAGGGTGGTTCGAGTAGAACAGCGTGTGCTAAAGGTATGAGGTATCTAATTAAATCCATACAAATTCATCATGCTTAAAATGACCTAGTAGAAAAAAATATTAATGCATAATTTAAGACGATGACATCATCAATTCGTCTAATTAATTGCTGATATATTTTAATATCAAATTATTGGTCCACGATTGAACACTCAAATGGATAGTTGAATAAAATTCAACATCTCTAACACATTTGTTTACGTGTAAAATCATAATCGGCTCGAAACTAAATTAATGGTTCTAGTGGGAGTAAAAGTACATATGATAATGGATTATATATATATATATATAAGTTGATCTGATGTGTGTGATGTATTGTATCAGCTGTCTTTGCAGATAGAAGAAGAATTAGAGACGGAGAAGAAGAGAGGAGAGAAGTTTCGACACCATCTTTGTCAGAGAAAAAAGCACACAAGAAGAGTTTGAAGCAATTGGTCAAGTCTTGTGTCAAAGGCAGTGGAGCAAAACATACAGGGGGCTGATTAGTCATTCCATTCAGTATGTTAAAAAAAAAATATCAAATGGGTAATAAAATTATAAAATTATACATATTGTAAAGATAAATATGTTAAAAAAAATATATCAAATGGGTAATAAAATTATATTATTGTTTTATTTAATGGACGAATGATAAAGAGGGTTGACCATTATCTGTCAAAAATAAACATTATTGAGGGGTATAAATATAATATAATATTATAACATAATATAATAATATAACATTATTCTCACCCCTCTTTTTAACAATTGTTCTCCATTTGTTTTTTTCTTTAAAAAAAAAAAAACATTTGACAAACAATTTCTAAATTGATTAATGCATCATTTTTTATTTTATAATATATTAATTATATTTTATATTATAAACTTTCATTTTATAATATAATAACTATAGTTTATATTCTAAATTTTAAGACGGTTGCTTTCTTTATTTCTTTTATAGTTTTCCTTTCTTTATTTCTTTTATAGTTTTTTACGTCAAAAGAGAATTTATTTAACACAAATATTTCATTTTTTTTAGTCTTTTCAAAAGAGACTAGAAATATTAAAGATTGAAGATTGAAGACAGAGTGGGATATCAGAAAGAGTTGTTGTGTAATTTGAAAAAAAAAAATCATTCACTCCCAGTGAAATTAAGATTAAAAGTGTTATTTGCTTTTCAAATGGGAATGCGAATATCGCATATTATTAAATTATTAAAATAATATATATAAATCAAAAATATATTTTGAATTTATAAAGAGTAAAGAAATTCACGCTTGCATAATGGAGAGAGCACACACTTGTGTGTTATGTTAAAGCCTTTGTAATTTTTATACATGCAAGTTTAACGGACTATCATGGCGGAGCCAGAAATTCAATTAGGGTAGAGGAATTTAATTTGGGGAGGGGGTGTTGCACCATTCTGAATTCACAAGGAGAGTGTTGCAGTGTAAAGAAAAGAAAAAGATAAATTCAATTAGGGGAGGGGAATTCAATTTTTTTTGTGTGTTTGTTGGAAGGGGGATAAAATACAAAATACAGAGTTGCAAGATAGGAATAAATTATATTCAAGATATAACTTCAGTCCTAACATAAGTTGATGACAATATATAAAACAAAATAGGAAATACAAAATAAAATATGAGATACAGTGTTACAAGAGGGGAAGAAAGGAGAATTAAGAAATTGATGAGGAAGACATTTTAGTTGTATATTAATATGATAGATATGGTACATACTTTATTTAAATTACAAAACACACCATTATACCAAAAGGCATGATTATAAATTGTAGTTAACGGTGTTAAAAAATAATCATGTTTTTAGGTACCAAATTAATTCGCAGATTACAATTGATCGTTTTATTAAACCTGATTTAAACCTTTTAAAGGTAACAATTACAGAAAAATCGAGGAGCTACAATTTATATGTTTAATACGAATATCAGGTATGGAGTCAGGATTTTAAGTTGGGGGCACAATGTACTTGATAAAAAAATGTGTGTGTGTGTGTGTGTGTGTATAGATCAACTAAGATGGCAAATATACGTTGCACGCAGTACATACATATATAATCTCAATTTGGGGAGAGGAATTCAATTTGGAGAAATTCAATTAGGGTAGAGGAATTCAATTTGGGGAGGGGGTGTTGTACCATTTTGGATTCATAAGGAGAGTGTTGCAGTGTAAAAAAAAGAAAAAGATAAATTCAATTAGGGAGGGGAATTCAATTTTTTTTGTGTGTTGGTTGGAAGGGGGATAAAATACAAAATACAGAGTTGCAGGATAGGAATAAATTATATTCAAGATATAACTTCAGTCCTTACATAAGTTGATGACAATATATAAAACAAAATAGGAAATACAAAATAAAATATGAGATACAGTGTTACAAGAGAGGAAGAAGGGAGAATTAAGAAATTGATGAGGAAGACATTTTAGTTGTATATTAATATGATAGATATGGTACATACTTTATTTAAATTACAAAGCACACCATTGTACCAAAAGGCATGATTATAAATTGTAGTTAACGGTGTTAGAAAATAATCATGTTTTTAGGTACCAAATTAATTCGCAGATTACAATTGATTGTTTTATTAAACCTGATTTAAACCTTTTAAAGGTAACAATTACAGAAAAATCGAGGAGCTACAATTTATATGTTTAATACGAATCTCAGGTACGGAGTCAGGATTTTAAGTTGGGGGCACAATGTACTTGATAAAAAAGTGTGTGTGTGTGTGTATATATATAGATCAACTAAGATGGCAAATATACATTGCACGCAGTACACACATATATAATCTCAATTTGGGGAGAGGAATTCAATTTGGAGAAATTCAATTAGGGTAGAGGAATTCAATTTGGGGAGGGGGTGTTGCACCATTCTGAATTCACAAGGAGAGTGTTGCAGTGTAAAGAAAAGAAAAAGATAAATTCAATTAGGGGAGGGGAATTCAAATTTTTTGTGTGTGTTTGTTGGAAGGGGGATAAAATACAAAATACAGAGTTGCAGGATAGGAATAAATTATATTCAAGATATAACTTCAGTCCTTACATAAGTTGATGACAATATATAAAACAAAATAGGAAATACAAAATAAAAATATGAGATACAATGTTACAAGAGAGGAAGACGGGAGCATTAAGAAATTGACGAGGAAGACATTTTAATTGTATATTAATATGATAGATATGGTACATACTTTATTTAAATTACAAAACAGATCATTGTACCAAAAGGCATGATTATAAATTGTAGTTAATGGTACGTGTTAAAAAAAAATCATGTTTTTAGGTACCAAATTAATTCGTAGATTACAATTGATCATTTTATTAAACCTGATTTAAACCTTTTAAAGGTAACAATTATAGAAAAATTGAGGAGCTACAAATTATATGTTTAATACGAATATTAGGTACGGAGTTAGGATTTTAAGTTGGGGGGCACAATGTACTTGATAAAACAATGTATGTGTGTGTGTGTATATATATATATATATATAGATCAACTGAGATGGCAAATATATATTGCACACAGTACACACATATATAATCTCAAATAAAAAGAACCAAGACAAGAACCAAAATATCGATTAATAATATTTTTTATTAAATATGATTACAATTGTCCTTGACGGGTTTTCATATTTTGAAAACGATGCATGATAGCTTCGTTATCTATGCCACTGAATATATATATTTTTCTATATACAACCAAGCTATCAATCATAAATTGATCTCCCATACAATTACGCAATTTATTCTTTACAACATTCATAGCAGAAAAATGTCCTCTCTATTGTGGCAGTTGCAGCTGGCAAGACCAACCCAATCGTCACAAGTAAATACACCAACAGATATACCGTATCTCTTTTTGTCTCAACCATTCGTTTTGCAAGAGCAGGAATTCCTTTCAAACCTTTAAAGCTACCATCAGAGCGTACATAAAAAATATAAGTCTCAAGTTGACCATCAAGATCTATGAGCTTAAGTGCAGAAAATTCTTTTGGACAAAATTTAGCAAAGCAAATTAATTTTTGCTTGTCAAAAGCAATAAATGCATCATCTGGACATAGACATGTTACATGAAGAAGCATCTCAGTATTTACCTAATTGAAACGACTATTTAGCTCTTGAAGTTGCAAGTCTATAACAGAACAAAACAAATTAACACGATAGTGATGCAAGTTTGTCTTTTTTTGAGCTTTACGGCACAATCGTCCTCAAGCTATGACCATATCATCCATGTTGGGAACAACAATCTCATGTCTATTACAAAAGGAAGAAACTTGATCCCTCATAATTTGCAATCGTTGCTTATATACTTTGACTAATGACATATCATTCACAATATTTTGATCTTTCCTTTGTAGTGCTTTTGATAATTCATTTGCAATTTTCAATACTGTCTTCAATAAATGGATATTAAATACGAAACTAAAGCATTGCATTGCCTCAAGCAGAATATTTGTTTCACCTCTTTGATCGGAACTTAATCCATCCTCTTCGATATTCTCAAGAACACCAATTACAGAAGGAAACATCATAATCAAGCTAATTAAAGTACCATAATGTGAACCCCAACAAGTGTCTCCAGGACGTATAAGGGAAATGCTCTGATTTAGGTCTCGCCCACTTGAAAGCTTGCCTCTATTAATTCCCTCAATAACTTCGGCAACTTGTTTCTCTCAAAGCATATCATGACGTTTACATGAGGCTCCAACTACATTCACCACATTACCAAGTAATGTGTACAGAGTTGAAATCTGAGAATGTTTCTTTGCCACACCCATAAGAGCCAAATGAAGTTGGTGAGCAAAATATTGAACATAAAAAACAAATTCATTCTATTTTAGAATAAGCACTTTTAGACCGTTAAACTTGCCTTGCATATTGCTGGCCCCATCATAACCTTGCCCACGCAGTCTAGAAATGCTCAATCTATGTCTAGAAAATAAATTATCAATGACCGTCTTCAGTGAAAGAGCGGTTGTATCCATAATATGTACTATACCAATAAAACGCTTGATAAGACTTCCATTCTTCACATAACGTAAAACAATAGCAATTTGCTCCTTTATCGATACGTCCTGAGATTCATCAACTAAAATTGAGAAAAATGCATCTCTAATATCTTTGATGATAAAATTGATGATCTCTGTTGCAGCGGCATTAATAATGTCTTTTTGAATATCAGGTGACGTTAATTTCAAATTTGCGGGAGCATTTTCCAATACAACGACTCTAACATTTTCATTGTGATGGGCATGAAATTTCAAAAGTTTGAGAAAATTCCCTTGATTCTTTGAATCCTCAGATTCATCATTGACATGAAATCCAAGTCCTTATTGTAAAAGATATCTGATACATTCAATTGATGCATTCAAATAAGTTCGATATTCACTTTAAGATTAGTCCGACTGCTTGGAGAAACTTGTTTGA